GGCCAGTTAGTCCATCGGAATTGACCAATCGCATTTGTCATTTTGTTTGAAGAATTGACAGATTGGTCAATTCCGATGGATTAATTGGTCCAGTTAAGTTAATTGAGCTTGGTGACAGTGGCCCTAAGGGCCAATTTCACCAACCACGGTTAGATTAACCGACGGTTAAAGTTAGCAGGGTGACCAACAGACACATATTTTCTCGTAACCTCTTGGCTCTAACCTGAAATTTGTGGGAAGCAATAAACAGTGTATTATACATGTGAAAAAAAGTTTAAAAGGTAATATAAATATATATACTTCATCCTTTTTTACAAGTGTTGAACGATCAGTTTCTTTGTTTTCAATGACATCACGTTGTAAAAATATTAAATCTAATAAAGATTCTTTATCTGCGTCAGAAAAATTCTTTTGCCTTTGCATGTTTTAATCTGTAAAAAAAAATAAAATTTATAATGTCATTTTATATTATATAAAGAAACATATTATACATATTTATATTACCTTTTAAACTTTTTTTCACATGTATAATACACTGTTTATTGCTTCCCACAAATTTCAGGTTAGAGCCAAGAGGTTACGAGAAAATATGTGTCTGTTGGTCACCCTGCTAACTTTAACCGTCGGTTAATCTAACCGTGGTTGGTGAAATTGGCCCTTATTATTCTCTACGAAATTGTAAAAGGAAAAAAGTTTAGTCGGTGCCATCGGTGCTTTAGAACAGAATCCTCTAAATTAAACGCTACCAATGCTCGCTAGGGTCGTTCATGGATTTATTAAGACCCGTTCTACAATAAGTATTCGGATGACGAAGTCGGGTATCGTTAGTCGCTTATCGCGTGTTGAGCTGGTTCTACATTGGCTGCGTTCAGCAGACTCAAAAGTTTTGCAACCGTTTTATGATTGTCTGCTGAGATAGGACCATTCTTCTAGATCTAAAAGTATGATCCAATCAGCTCGAAGGAAACTTCCAACAGTTGCAAAATGAACGTTCTGCTGAACGCAGCCATTGACTACGTTTACAATTGGCCAGTCATAGCTATTCCTCTGAAGAATGGAATGACTGCGATTGGCCAGTTTCCTAACATCGATATTATAACTTCGGCGTAAATCAATCCGTGTAAACGTAGTCAATGATCGCATCGCAACGTCGCAAGCGTGTCGCAAGCGTTGCAGTCCAATCAGAGTCGAGCTAGCTTGACGTTGATTGGACCGCAACGCTTGCGACGCTGCGATGTGACTAATGTAGAACCAGCTTTGTATGTAGGTATGAGTACGACTTGCTAGTCTACAATTGCGTCGCAAGTCGGAATAGTCATAGAAATTGAAACGTTGAATATTTATTCAAATTTATTACTTATTTGGATGCAAATTATAAGACTGAGATTACTTATAAAAAAACGTAAAAAAGGAATTACAAGAAGATGGTGGATAAAACCTCATATTACTAGAAATATGAGACAAAATTTTGGTGAGTACGCTTAATGAGCAGTCGTGCTTCTGGATGCACCTATATTGAGCAGGTTAGGGTGCTGTTTCATGGGCACGGAATCGGAACACGGAATCGGAAAGGTGAAGTCGTAGGGGCAACCAATCAGCATCGTTCCGTTCCGATTTTTAAGTAGCCTGGCTTCCTATGGGGCATATTTTTCGGAAGCGGAAATTTTTCATACTGTCAATCACTAGTGATCACTAGCGATTAAAAATAATATTGAAAAAATTCAATTAAAAGGAGCATTGAAAAGATGAAAAATATCTTCTGTAAGTATTGTAATTACATGTATGTTAAATTATTTTATTGATAATTAGATTATAATGATGATTTTATTAATATATTAGATTATAATGATGATTTTGCATACATTTCTAACCTAACATCATATGTACAATATGCCAAATACCCAGGGAAAACAAGGAAGTAAATATTATGTCAATTTGACGTCATTGTGACTGATTATTGACCGAATCTTTTTACATCATTTTTTCGTCATGATTCGGTCAATATAGGCTGCGGTCCACTTGACGCTACAAACGCTTTGAAGCGTTTGAATGACCAATCAGAACAAAGAATTTTACGAATTAACTAATCAAAGAATGCTTTGAAGCGTTTGTAGCGTCAAGTGGACCGCTGCCTATATGACCAGCCATAATATCAAATTGATATTATTTCGACTTTCTGTTTCCATTGAGTAATTGAGCTATCTGGAGATGCTGTCTTCTTCGAAACTCTTTTTGCCAAGGTAACTGTGGAGTTCTTTGCCATTGTATATTTTTTATAAGAAATAATCGTGCTGTTTTCGCTTTCATCTTTTCCTACAAGAATCAAATAAAAAATATTTAATATATATAAAACAAAACAAGGTTAGAGATGTATGCAAAACCATCATTATAATTTAATATAAAATCATTATAATTTAACATACATGTAATTACAATACTTACATTTTTCACCTTTTCAATGCTCCTTTTAGTTGAATTTTTTCAATATTATTTTTAATCGCTAGTGATCACTGGTGATTGACAGTATGAAAAATTTCCGTTTCCGAAAAATATGCCCCATAGGAAGCCAGGCTACTTAAAATCGGGACGAAACGATGCTGATTGGTTGTCCCTACCACTTCACTTTCCCGATTTCGTGTTCCGATTCCGTTTTTTCACACCCTTAGTGTAGTGTAAAGAATTTAATTGTGTTTGTATCCGTGTTTTTTACATTTTCTGCAAGTTTTCTGAATATTATGCACATCTTCTGCATTATATGCATATTATACACATAAAATGCATAATATCTCCTAGCCACGCATAATCGGCATAATACCCAATCCTGCTTAAGCGGGGAGCACAGACTCTTGCATAACACATAACACATAGGCCGGTATTCATAGTCGATTCTTATTTCAAGACCGTCTTAAGTAATGGCTGCGTTCAGCAGACTCAACAGTTTTGCAACCGTTTTATGATTGTCTGCTGAGATAGGACCATTCTTCTAGATCTAAAAGTATGATCCAATCAGCGCGAAGGAAACTTCCAACAGTTGCAAAACAAACGTTCTGCTGAACGCAGCTTATGTCTTAATACGCTAATGTGGCTCTCTTATTGGTTCGTAACACCTCAAGGCTGAACTTGAGATGATCTTGAATATAAGAACTGACTATGAATACCGGCCATAAAGCATAAGGCCGGAATCAGACTACGCATTGAAGATTGAGATTGAAGATTGAAAAATTCAAATTTGACCAATCGAAACGAAAGGAGCAAAAATTTCTTTGTCCTTATTGGTCAAATTTCAATCTTCGATCTTCAACCTGAATCTTCAATGCGTAGTCTGATTCCGGCCTAAGAAATTCAACCATTTAGAATTCTTTATTTCATGGAAAAGAAGAAAACGAAGGACTTTGATTGGTACATTTTCTTATGCATTTCGTGTTGTGTTATGCATAAGAAATTTAATCAATCAGAATTCTTTATTTCATGGAAAAGAAGGAAACGGAGGGCTTTGATTGGTATATTTTCTTATGCATTACGTGTTATGCGTTATGCAAGAGTCTGTGCTCCCCGCTTTAGAGTCGGACTGTTCGATTTCGGTGACTTCGGTAGTTCGGTTCGGTCAGTGTTCGGTCAGTTCGGTATTTCTGTGTGACCGTGTCGTCTACTCGGTCTACTTCTGTCTGACCTATTCTTCGCTTTTACAGGAAGCACGAGAAATGGCCTGTTCTGCTATACGATCGCCCGTTCTTCGTAATTCTACGGTAAACGAATCTTATAAAGACAATCATGCATGTTTTCATGTCTCCGGACATTTTATCATTTACCATTGAGTTTGTAATGCAGGTGTTATATAAATCTCATTAAAGAATATGACATGTGTTTATCTTGTAACTTTTCAAATGTTTCGAACAATTTTGGAATTATGTGTATCGTTACGGATGTTCTGTAGATTATCTTGGCAGAATTGAAATAAAAAAATGTTAGCTTTATATATACCTATACCTATACCTATACTAATATACTCTATTGAATGTTTGCAATTTCATTTTATTTATATTGTGTCATTATCCTTAATATTATTATTTATCTTTTAGAAATAATAAAAAAGTACAGCGCACGCGATTATGTTTATATATTTTATAATTAAATCGATAAATATATGTATAATATATGTACCTACCTTTTTAATTACCCAAGGTAAGGCATTATGCAGCTGCCGCGGTTGCTCAATGTTCTAATGTTGCGACCCCAGAACTTCAGTTATTGCCGAACAATAAGGTGACAGTTGCTGCGCTCGATAACAATAATCCTGTTGCTCAAGTGTCAATCATCTTTAGGTATATAAAAATGACATTACGAGTTAACAAATGATATTATGATATATAATTGCTCAGTATAAAATAATCATCTCTTGCTCTACGCTCTTTTTGCGTTTAGAGCTGGCTCCCGCAACGAGACATATGATACACAAGGCACTGCGCATCACATTCGAATTGCTGCTGGTCTGAGCACTTGTAGATCAACTTACTTTGGAATAACTAGAAACATCCAACAACTTGGTGGAAACTTAACTGCTACCACTGATCGTGAAAGCATTGCATATACATTACAAATTACTAGAAACAACTTGTAAGCAATTACTTCATTAATACATCTATATATCCGTTGTAGTAATTTTGCAACACTTATATTCTAATATTGCAACAGAGACAAAGCTTTGACTTTCTTAGAGGATGTTGCCACCAAGCAAGTATTTAAGCCATGGGAAATATCCGATCAACTATCCAGGTTGCGCTATGAATTATCTATGATACCCGAGGCAACCCGTATAATGGAATTGTTGCACAAGGCAGCTTACCGTACTGGACTAGGTTATTCTCTATACTCGCCAAAGAGACAACTTGGAAAAATCAATACAGAAACTGTACGTACGTAATGTTACGTATTAATGGCACATGGCACAAAAGAGAAATTTGCTTTCTTCCTATACAGCTGCAACATTTTGTTAACACTTGGTTTACTGGCTCGAGATGCGCGGTCGTAGCAACGGGCGTGTCACTGTCGGACGTGACACAGTTTGCTTCGAATTTGAAGGTAGGTCCGGGAGATAATATTGTGGAAATTGCTAAATATCGCGGAGGGGAACTCCGCAAGGAACGCTCCTCTGAATTGTCCACTGTAGCGGTAGCCGTTGAAGCAGCAGGTTTAAACAAAGAAAAAGATGCCCTTGCTTGTGCCGTGTTGCAAAGGGCAATAGGTTCTGGCCCTCGTGTAAAGTGGGGCTCCAGCGTGTCTCCACTGAAACAAGCAGTCTCCGGAGCAACGAGCACCGACCAATTTGCCCTTTCAGCATTTAATGTTTCTTACAGTGATTCCGGATTGTTTGGTCTTATTCTGTCCTCAGTACCCAACGTCGCCGGTTCCGTAAGTTTTGTCATTTAACCAGGGCTGGGTAATATTTAAAATAGTTCCATTTTAAATATGTATTTAAAATGGAAATGGCATTTTGTATTTTCCATTTTAAATGGTTTTTGGAAAATATTTTCATTTTACATTTGAAATGGAATCTTGTCTATCATTTAACCATTCATAAAATTTTTCTACGTTTTCACAAATTTTCCCTGGAATCATTGACATATAAGAAAAACTAAGTCCCATGATTGGCCAAAGATTTTTATGAATATTCAAATAAACTACAAATGAAACTGTAAAGGGAAAATTAATTTCAGATAGTCCATAAATATTAACTCTTAATAAAAGAGTGTTCCAGCATTATGTAAAATACTATATACATTTCTAAAAATATATATTACTCTTAACATCTAATTTTGACCATAACCGGCGCTTTTCATATTAATTTGATTTATTCAAGTAAACGGTCCCGTTTTCGAATCATAATATTAAAAAATTTTTAATATTCCCATCAGAAATACTTTATTTATAATACTGTAATCAGGGCTTCGAATTCCGTTGAAAATGGATTTCAAACGTAAAATACTTTTATAAAATTTATATCATCTTGGCGGAAAGTTTTTATGACAAAACATAGATTGAAACAAGGTTTTATAAATTCTTAGTTTAGATATAGATATTTGTAGTGGAATGTAAAATACTGTTATTTGTTTAAAAAACCAAGAAATCCTTCGCCCAAACAACGCCACTTTACATCTTACGTATGAATATCTACGAAAAACTATGGATTTCTGAGATAAACAAATCTCATTCTATGTTTCACTACGCGCGCGAATATCTAAAAAATAAGAATTTCTAAGATCTTATTTCAATCTATATAATTTTTCTGTACTTTTTCGTAAAAATTTTTGCTATGGCAAGAAAAATCATTTTGCACATTTGCAAACCATTTAAAATACCTATTTATCCATTTTACATTTAAAATGGATTTGAAAAACCTATTTTGTATTTTAAATATATTTTTTAAAAGTATTTTACAATTAATATTTTAAATGGAATTCGAAAGATATTTTACCCAGCCCTGCATTTAACATAAATATTTTTTATTCTACAACTAATAAATTTCTCACCAGGCCAAATTCCTTGTATACGCTATAATTTTATCTTACTTTGTAGGTAACAAAAGCTGCTACTGAATATCTGAGATCGCCTAAGCTTTCCGAGGCTGATGTCGTGCGCGGTAAGACTATGTTGAAAGCGGAAATATTATATGCCGCAGATAATGATGCTATGTACTTGGAAAATATGGGACAGCAAGCAATCATTAAAGGACGCGTGTACAAACCATCTGATCTCGTTGCAGAAGTAGACAAAATAACTGCATCTGAAGTCAAATCGGTATGCAGATTTTATTTTTCCAGCAATATCGTTTGCTTTACTTTTCTTTCTTTTCAATTTACTTTTTCAACATTATGCAATGTTTTATATATGTATATGTATACATTTATGTAGTGCACAAAAGTATACACAAAACTTATATGTTAGGGCGGGAGCCAGAGTTTTGCATAACGCATAACCCGTATTCAGAACGCGCTTACAATGATGTTAGTGCGCTAACATGCTATAGTTTATTATGCATACTATAGAATTTTAGAGATAAAAACGCGTTCTGAATACAACCCACATAATGCATAAGAAAATGTACCACAACCAAAGTCCTTTAATTTTTTCGTTTCCACAAAATAAAAGACTGATTTCTTATGCTTTATTCATTATGCAAAGGTTTGTGCTCCGGCCTTAAGACTTTATTAAAAACGGCTATTTCTTTACAATACTTTTAGGTTGCTGGAAAACTTGCTGGCGGAAAATTATCCATGGCTGCAATCGGCAATTTATGCACAGTTCCATATATCGATGAATTAAAGTAAATGATAATGAAAATCTAGTAGATAGTATCGTTTCGTGAGCCTTCAAGTTTTAAATATTTTATCCAGTTCAGAGATATACACACGTTTATCAGAGTGTAAAATCTACTTTGCGATATTAATAATAAAAGAGAATATCGCTATAGTTGATTGATTGATTGAATAATTACTTTAATTTTAGTTGTCATTTAGTGTAACAATGCAGAAAGAAATCGGAAACACAAGATATTAAAATTACAGCTAATAATGTCAAAATTCAAGTTAAACATTTTTCAATAGTATTTATATTATCTTCGTCTATCAGTAATTCGTCTTCTGCATAAGATTAATAGAAAAATACATAAAAAATATATGAAGAGTACATCTTCACAACACACTATGACTCGAGATGTGAAAGTGTGTCTTTTCATTTATTTAATAAAGTTTTATTTCTTCTATAGAGTAGAATTTATTGTGTTTTCTCGAAGAAGATCGTAATGGTTTTCCATTGTTTGTCCTGTCTATCATAGGCCTCAAGTTGACGAGATTTTGCAAAAACTGAAACTGGGAAAAAAGAAACGACAGTTGGTTGATAAAATAACAAAAGATTGTGCGAGTTACTTTTCATACTTACATGTTCTTCTAGGATAGAATCTAGCCGATTGAAAAGCTCCAAAACGTGCATATCTTGCGATAATAAATAATGTTGATAGTGTGAGTCGAGAAGCACACAGAACCAATCATACAACTGCTGATCGTTCGGCTGTGAATTATCGTCAAGCGAGTTTGATTTCTCATTCAATTTACATATTAGATATTCCAATAATTTAAGTACTTGGTCGAAAGTTAAACCGGTTTTCAGGTGAGGTAACAATGAAACACTGGAATAGCTGATACTAAACACTCTGTCGAGAAAATTGTCTCTGGAATAGGGATTACTAGCTTTCAATGTGCTATCAATTGTGCCGTTTTGCAGAGGAACGAATACTTTGTCTGGACTGTTTAAGGTAAATATCAAAAGATCCACTAATAACTTCTCTGACAAATCTTTGAACGTATCGAAGCACCAACAGATCGACGCGACATCGTCAGATTCCATCAATAATGGGATCACAGTCTCTTGTATCGCGGAATCGCTCCATCCTTCGTTCAAATAAGAACAAATCTTTTTCGAGATATTCAAAGGTATTCGACCTGTCGATGCATTTCTCGTCCACGTTCGATTCTTGTCCCATTGAGCCACTGTCGCTTCTTGTATCACGATAATATCGTCTGCATCATTACCATCATTGTCGTTCTTGAAGCGCAAAGACGAGCCCAACATAGCAGCTATCCTTTGCGGCGCCAGGTGATAGGGCGCAATGGCCAAATGTCTGTTTGCCGCTAGTAACAATTTGTCCTCCACTTTCCAGAGCTTAGCGTCGTTGGTATAAAGTTTTAACTTCTGCACCGCTTGCGCTGACTTGAATTGTACATTGTATATCATGAGTATTGCTCCCTCGTCCGTGACATCAGCACCATAAATCGCTATCGTCGTCTCGTTAAGATGTGTCATGACAATGGGATATTTTGTATTGATATTAGTAATTACACTGATCAACCTATTAGATTCCATGTCGGAAGATGTTCCTGTCAACAAGTGACTATACAATCTACCGTGTGACCCTGAAACAATTGCACAATATTAAACATGCATGTTTTATCTTTAAAAAAAGAGGAAAGAGGAACCTGATACACCATTTTAATACATACATAAAGTCAACAGATACGCATCGTTCTTATAATGTATTACAACATGTCCCATGAGAACCTCTGACTTTCGTTTTAATTCTATCCTCCTGATAGTATCCACTTTCTCCAAACAAGTATCGTCCTCCAATCCAACTACTACATAGTTATAGACTTCTTCTACTCTTGTCAAGCAGAACAAACTCGTCTTTCCGTTTAAATGTATCAGCTGACAGTTTAATAATTTCTCCTTAGCCCTAATTATACCCTTGCTCATCCATGTCTTCCTGTTAGCGATGGCCCACTCTAGAGAAGCTGTAGCTCCATTTTGCTGGACAAGAATGGGTGACGAGTCACCATGTGATAGAATAGCATGAAGCAGGGACGAAAACTTGTGTCCCTTCACGTTATTCAAGTCTGCCTCCTCTTCTGACCAAACCCGAATCTTTCTCTCATTAAAGGCAGCAACATAACGCTGCTTGAATCTATCATAAATGACTTGCGTCGTCAATCTTTCTTTGCTGGACCAACTACTAATCTGTTTTAGATCTTGTAGCTGGAAATACATATGGATCGTCAAAATGTTTCAAAGCCACATTTAAAACATGATGGTTAAATCTCTAACCTTATATCGTATAACTATGTTCCTGCCGAGAGTCACTACTGCGCAGCCTGGTTCCTTATCCTTCTCGACGCCGAGTAAACTCTGCTGGTCGATAAGTGGACAAAGCGTGTAGTACGAACTAAGCTTTGCCATTCTCGTAACATGTAAAGCTTTTTTCGGAATTTTCTATCACTCGTCTATTGACTTGCATCTGTATCCTTATAAAAGAATGATCAGATGAATCAGATCAGCACGTGCCACGAATGCGATTAGAAATGCATTAGTTGCTTTTCATTTACACCGATTCTCAGATAATTCTTACTTGTGACATCATAACTCAATTGAATATGCATTCCTTTTGCATTCTTACAAGTGAGAGTTAACTGAATTTTTGCCTAAATTTGCACAAGACCGAGACCGTATTCTTTACCGAGTCTCATAAACTCATTTTAAAAGTAAGGTTATGAATCTGTGTTATGCGGGGTCTACAATAGAAGTCGTAGTAGTCGTAGGATCTTAAGTCGTAGAAAATTAACCAATCACAGTCGAATATGAGAAGAATAATCAACTGTGATTGGTCAATTTTCTACGACTTAAAACCCTACGACCGCTACGACTTCTATTGTAGGCCCCGCATTATATGTGATAACTTTCTACCAAAATAAGCAAGTAATTTGACGTCATTAATTTGAGTACGAAATACTCAGCTCACTTCAGACTAAGTTTTACTTGTGTGTAAATGGAAAGCAATCGTTGTTACCATCAAATCAATCCATCAGTCGCTATCTTCCTCTTCTTTCGATTTGTGTGGCATTCGCCGTTGAGAAAACATAAAGACACTATAATAAGAGACTGGCATAAGTTCTAGTTGGATAGAAAATGGCGTTCACAGGACGATAAGTCATAGAACTACGGATATAAGAAAGTAGGGATACAGCCATACAGCTTATTCTTGCGGGGAAGAAGCCGTCAAGGGCAAAGAGATGGTATCCATTACCACAGTATATACAGTAGCGCAACTCTCTTGATTTTATGTTGGCCAAAACGGAGTGCGCATGCACTCCGTGAAATAAGTAAGTTGCCCCGTCTCATTTTCTCCTTTATTGCTTTCTCTTTCTCTATTTAAATGACCGTTTCAATGTTCCATTTAGTTGAGAACGATTGAGAATAGAAATTTGGAGGGAAATACAACGTGCATCGTCTATTTTGATACCTAGCATATATTTACAATTATGTAATATTTCTCTATATAAATATATGTTTTGAAGGTGATTTAATATTTTTTTTTAATTTTTCTACATTTTTTCCTTATTTTTTTTTTTTAATTTTTCTACATTTTTTCCTTATTTTTCAATATATTTACAATTTATTTTTATTAATTTTCATTAAGTTTAGATTATTTCATTGCAATAGTGGGTTTATTCGCGTTGCATGCTCCAATATGCTCCTACAATAGCTTTTACTCACTCAAACGCATTCATTGAAATGCGACGCGAATAAGGACACTAAATATAGTGAGTTTTGACAGAGCGAAAGGATGAAAAGATAAAGAAGTTCAGATAGCAACCATAGAAACGCTAGGTTTAGGCTGCATTTTCATGCTGACGCTCGATTCGAGCGTCAAACTGGTCACGTAATGTAGGATTCACACTGCGTACGACA